TTGCATCGATTAATTCGTTGTATGCTGGCCATTTGATAATATTGCCTTCAACCTATTTGATTGTATTTCACGAACTAAATTCCATTGATATGTACTAGCCCTTCGATAATACTGCCTTAAACCTATTCGAGAATAATTCACGAACTAAATTTCATTACTCAATCGTTTACCCCACCTGACTAGACCTAGTATTTGGACATTTGCTTTTCTATCTTATTAGCATTAGTAGTATTAGCTTGCGATCGAGCCATAAGTAACCCCAACCTTTAAATTTGACAAAATAGCAAAAATAAAAAAATAAATAATAATAATAATAATTTCAATGACTAATTCTTCGGTCGGCACTAGTTGATTGTTGATTATTGATCTCAGTAGTGCACTTTACGTAGTCGTGTTACCGTGTATGCAATTGCGTAGTGGTCGCGTTACTGCCTCTAACTTTAGTAACCTTATCATGGACCCCGCCCAAATTGAGGCCCTCACCAGACAGCTTGCACAATTACAAAATCAACTAACAGCTGTCCAAACTGAGGTAGTCGCTACTCGTGAAGAGAATAGAGCCCTAGCCGCTAGGTTGAATACTCTTGACCAAATCCCATATTCGACCGAGGCTGAGAACTCTGAGGCTTCCATTAATAGGCCTCATCGTCGCCCACAAGGTGGTCGACACCATGCCCGACATGGTCGTAGGGAAGGAAATCAGGTTCGGGAACGAGAGCGGGGATATTACCGTCATGGTACACAATCTCCCCCTCGCCACGATGAGCGCCTCTTTCGAAACATTAAGTTGGATGCCCCTACGTTTGACGGTTGTCTAGATCCTAGTGCCTTCAATCAATGGGTTAGAGATATGGATCGCTTCTTTGCATGGTATGGGGTCCCGGAAGATCGGAGGGTACAATTTGCCAGTTTGAAGTTAACTGGCACTGCTCAACTCTTTTGGGAAAGTGTTGAGGACCTCCTTGAAAGGCGTCATGCTCCCCCTGTTGGGAGTTGGGATGAAATGAAGCGCCACCTTCAAGAAAAATATTTACCTCAATCTTATAGGGGTAACTTGCTGGATCAATGGAACGCACTTACACAAGGCAGTCGACCTGTGACCGAATATGTTGCTCAGTTTGATGAGTTTCGAATGAAATGTCAGGTTGTTGAGGATGAAGTTATGACCTTGAGTAGGTTTAGGCAAGGTTTAAGAGACGAACTTAGGCGCGAGCTTGTCCTTAGGGGTGTCACCACTCTCGACCGCGCCTACTCTTTCGTTCGGGATTATGAATTAGTGACTAGGACACCGTATAGAAATCGTAGTGACTCCCGCACTACAACCTCATCTGCATCCACGCCATCCCCTAAGTCTATTCTAGGTCCTCCTCCCTCTAATACTACCCCTGCATCGGATAGCAAAGGTAGAGGTTCTGAGGTTTCAAGGACCTCCTCCCGTTTGCAATGCTTCAACTGTAAGGGTTTTGGTCACATTGCTTCTAAGTGCCCTAGCCAAGCCCTAGTTCTGGACGAACGTGAGGATATAGTCATCGAACCACTAGAGGATCAGGTTTATGAGCCTAAGTTAGAAGAGTTTGAAGACTTGGAGGACAGTGAGGATACCTTCTTAGGTTGTATTCAGGCTAGTCCCATTATCCCACATACACCCAGAGTCGGTGTCGTCCGTTACACCCTCACCCAGCCTAAGGATGCCGACGATTGGCGCCGTCATGCCATCTTCCACACCTACATCAAGATTAATAACAAGGGCTGTAAAGTTATCGTGGATAGTGGCAGCTGTATTAACGCGGTTTCAAAGGCTACTATATCCCGTCTAGGGTTGAAACCAGTTCCTCACCCCCAGCCTTATAGTGTCTCTTGGGTTGACACCTCCTCTATAGCTGTTAATGAGCGTTGTTTAGTCCCTACCAGTTCCTGGAGTATAAGGACCTTATATGGTGTGACGTTATTTCGATGGACGTCGGGCACATCATCTTAGGACGACCTTAGCTATTTGACCTAGATGTAACCATATATGGTCGATCCAATTCCTGCTCCTTCGTGTTTAATGGAAAGAAGATTCATCTCAACCCACTACCCCCAAAGCCGGCTGGCTCACTAGAAGCGAAGAAAAGCGTGGAACAAAAGGGGTTGCATATCATTAGTCCTACAGAGTTTGAGCGTACAATTATTGGCGACTCAATTGTGTTCGCCTTAGTAGTCATGGAGGTTTCACCTAACTCCACAAGTGAGGATACTGCGGAAGTCCAATCGATCCTTCAGGAGTTTCGAGATGTCTTTCCGGAAGACCTACCTGATCATCTACCTCTGCTAAGAGATATTCAACATGCCATAGATTTTGTCCCCGGCGCATCCCTTCCAAATTTGCCACATTATAGGATGAATCCTACCGAGCACGCTGAGCTCCAAAGGCAAGTGAATGACCTTCTCAACAAAGGATTCATTCGTGAGAGTTTAAGCCCATGTGCTGTCCCCGCCCTATTGACGCCAAAAAAGGATGGAACTTGGAGAATGTGTGTGGATAGTCGCGCTATCAATAGGATCACGGTGAAGTATCGTTTTCCCATTCCTAGGCTTGATGATATGTTGGATATGATGGTTGGCGCGACAATCTTTTCAAAGATCGATCTAAAGAGTGGGTACCATCAAATTAGAATTCGCCCAGGGGATGAGTGGAAGAC